AAATTGAGAGTTTAACCTTGATAATATTGTCTCCGACTAAGTAGAGAATGGCTCCTTTTAATCTTGAATACCCTACATTTCATAAAGATAATAATCAATAAGACTATAGTTAATTTGTTTATTTAAAACTTCATTTGGGGTTAGGGTGGTTTGACAATATGACCAGTGAAAATGGAAGACAATAGAAATTACATTTGGTTTGACAATACTTTATATAGGTTTTTTTACACAACGTTTTATCCAAAAAAATATAAATTTATTTTCATAAAAAAATATAAAAATTTATAATTTTCAACACTTAAGTAAGGATTTATTTATATATACAATTTATATATTATATTTATAAAAAAATTTAAATAAAAATTTTTTTTTTTTTAATAGTTGATTCAATACAACATGAATAAATGAAGCCTAGATCAAGATTTTCGTCTAAAAAGTAATAAGATTTAATTGGGGCTTTTAAAAGCCCATGCATTTGGGCCTAGAAAATGTGAGAAAAGCCATATTTATAAGCCCATGCAATCATGCATTTAGGATAAAGCACAAGGAGTCAACTAGACTATTGGGCCGCAAAATTGAGTCCATGTTATCAGACAGGCCAGTCCTCCGGGCTGGTAATTCGAGCCCTCAAAAATACATGAGAGGAAATTTTAGTCATTTCGAACAAATTAGGGTTTCCTCGTAACTTATAAGCTCTGTTGAGTTGCAGTTTGCACCTCCGTCTCTCTGCCGTAGTCAGTGTTTATTTGGTCTCCATCGCTTCATCGCACCTTGATTCGACTCAAAAATGGCGGAGCAGGTTCAGTTCCTTCTTGTTCCATTGTCCATTTTTTTCGTTTTGCTGTAAATATTATCTATGATCAATTTTTCATTGGATTGCTGCTTTTTGGTTTTGCAGACTGAGAAAGCTTTCTTGAAGCAGCCGAAGGTGTTCCTCTGGTACGATTCTGCGTCATTCCATTATTGCACTGTACTATATTCCTGTTTGGTTGCTAAGAAAGTGTAGAAAAAGTTCGATTGAAGTAAACTTTGTATTGGATGTTGCTTTTCCGTGTCTTGTTTTCTAATGGAAAATATCTTGCTTAACACCAAGATCTTAGAATAAAAGATTGGGATGTGAAACTCCTATCTGTAATTGTTTCTGTCTGTAAATTATTGGTTTGGTAAATTTCAAATTTTGGAGAACAGAATAAGTTTTGCATTGATAGCATGTGAGATTGAATGCCTTAATATTGTTGTTTGGTTTAGAAAATGGTTGAAGTGATGCTGTGTATCTGAAGAAATTTGTTTTCAATTGTTATTTTTAGCTCAAAGAAGTCAGGGAAAGGGAAAAGGCCAGGAAAGGGTGGGAATCGTTACTGGAAGAGCATTGGTTTGGGATTCAAGACTCCCAGAGAGGCAATTGAAGGTTTCTTTTTTTTCCTTTTGGCGTTCAATACTTGCATTTGATTGTAAAATGCATACGTGCTTTTTCTTTATTCTTGTTTTTCTCTTTTCCTGATTAACAAACCGTGACTTGATTTTTTGTGGATAAGAAGTGTTTGATGATGGTTATATGGCATGAACTCCTAGAACTGAAATTGTTTATAAGAAACCTGTTACTTGCATTGACTTTTGATTCACTGAAAATCTCATTTTTGTGCAGATTGAGTCACTTATTTATGTTAACACTTGCATGACTCAGTTTTCAGCAGAATTATTTAACTGTCAATTTAGCTTTGCAATTTGCATCATTCTCTTGTACTTAATTGATTTATTTCTAGGTTGATGCAGCTCTTCTTGATATTCTATTACTTAGAGTATGAATATTTAACTTGTTCCTGTAATAACATGAATTACTGTGTCGGCATCCTTCTGGTAGCATCTGAATATCTCTATGGTATAATGCTATGGTACCTCTGCAATGAAAAATTTTGAAGTATTGAACAAAATGGGGTAGTAAATCTTCATTGAATTTTAAAGTCATTTTGTTTGGTCATCGATCATAATAGTTATCATTAGCTGTCTTGGGTGAGATTAAATTGTAATTGTTTTTGCATTGCTGTTTAGGTACTTACATTGATAAGAAGTGCCCATTCACTGGCAATGTTTCTGTCAGGGGTCGTATCCTAGCTGGCACTTGCCACAGTGCAAAAATGGTGAGGACCATCATTGTTCGACGTAATTATCTTCATTATATCAAGAAATATCAGAGGTAAGACATTTTTCCATATATTCTTTTTATTTTATACTTATTTTGATGAAATTAAGGTTATCTCACTCTTTTTTTAGATACGAGAAGAGACACTCAAACATCCCAGCCCATATATCCCCATGCTTCCGTGTTAAGGAGGGAGACCATGTCATCATTGGGCAGTGCAGGTTAAAAACTTATATCTCCACATTCTCAATGCAAGTCACAAGTTTTGTTTCTTACTCTATCTGCACCTTTTCCTTTTTTACAGGCCTTTGTCTAAAACGGTGCGGTTCAATGTGTTGAAAGTGATACCTGCTGGTTCTTCTGCTGGTGGGAAGAAGGCATTCACTGGGATGTGAGTGAGTTAAGTTTCTCTATCGGTTACTAGTATGAGAGGTGATGAGATTAGATCAATCTGTTTTTTGTTATTTGAGACCATTTTTTGAGCCTTGCATCTAGCACTTAAATTTTTTGTATTATCAATATACATTTTGAAGAAGTAATGACCTACTTTTTGGCCCCTCAAGCCGATATGGACGGCTTTACATAATCCCAAGTCTAAACCAATTAAGGAAGAGATTAACTTGCTGTTAATAGTACAGTAGTTCATACAACATATGAGTAAGAAATTTGGATTCTTGTTATGGTTATCTGACTATCTGAGGATTACTTGAGTGATTAATTTCTCAATATTAATTCCTAATTCCGGTAAAAAGCAGAATCCTAAAACCATGTTCTCTTTCTATCCTTCCACAAACAAGTAGAAAACCAGATTGAAGGAAGAGATGCACGGATTTCTTTCTTTTATTGGAATTTATTAACACATTTTTTTTCCGAGTCTCTACCATATGCCGTTTAACTGTGAAAGTAGAGTAAATGTGCAAATAAGGATTTTAACTTTGCATTTTTTTCTATTTAAGGATGTTAACTTTTAATTTTTTTTCTAAATAAGGATGTCAATTTTTAATCTTTTCTATTTAATAAAGTCAACTTTTAATGTTAGTCACGTTAGTGACACTATTTAAATAATTTTTAAATAAAAAAAGTTGAAAGTTGATATTTTTATTTAAAAAAAATTAAAAATTGACATTTTTATTTAAAAGTTAACAAAGTTAATATATTTAAATTAAAAAAAAAATGTAAAGTTGAAATCTTTATTTGCACCTTTACTATGCAAAGTATTTGAATGTTCTTATCAAATAAGATTTATTGAGGGTATTTTAGTACTGTCATAACCTAAACTACACTTTTTGTGCAGTTTTAATTGTAAAACACTATTCTCATTTATTAATAGCCCCTCTATAATTTGTCATCTATCATTCCTCGTCAGTCTTTTTTCTTTAATCGACCATTTCCTGCTTTAATGTCTCTGAATTTGTATAGAAATAAAAAAAGGTTGACTTTAAATTTATCAATTACTTAATTAAAATTATTTAAGCGGTATGGATATTAAAAATTATTTTTATATTTTTTAATAAAAATTTATTAAAAAATAATATTTTTAAGACACTTTTATCTTTTGTTTTTTCACATGTTACATAAAGCCTTTGTTTAATCGTCCACTGGCTTAATGTCTCTGTATTCTTAGTGTACTTTTTTGAACCACTACAATTTTGGGACGGGGGAATTGAACACCCAACATCTAGGTTGGGCGGCTGAACCTTTACCAAAATGGCCTATGAGGCCTGGTCCTGTATTCTTAGTGTACTTGAGCCATGAAATAGACACAAAACTAATAAGGGAAGCAAGCCATCCTGAAAAATGTATAATTTCTTTAATAAAAGCCATGAAATAGACACAAAACTAATAAGGGAAGCAAGCCATCCTGAAAAATGTATAATTTCTTTAATAAATTAATGTCTTTATATGTTCTTGGTATACTTGAGTCCTGAAATGGACACAAAACTAGAAGAAGCAAACCATCCTGAAATACAAAGAATTGAAGCTGCAACTGTGATACAGGACAGAAGATAAGAGAGAAGGGCCACGAGGACATACGAAGGGACTAATTGCAACAAATGATCGGAGAAGATGAGAGGAGATTAATGGGAAAAATATTTTATTAGTTTTATAATACTTTATTTATCAATACTATGTTGGCGTAATTTTTTTTTTTTTGTCTTTTTCAATATAAAAATTATATAACATAATAATTAAAATTGAGGTTAATATATATTAATTCTCACATTAAAAAAAATTAAAATCCAATCTACAATTAAAAATCAAATCTCAATTTAAAATTTAAAAATCTATCACATTAAATGCTGATATTTAAATTTGAAAATCGATTATATGTTTTAATATAATTTGTTTTTTAATTTAAATATTAATAAGATAACTTTTTAAATTTTGAGTTAAATTTTATTAACAAAAACAAAACTATGATATCAAATTCAAAGCTTCCCAAAATAGGAAACAATAACCTAAATAGGAGTTTCATACAATAGTTTCCTTTAAACTCTACAACTACATTAAAATACAAATTGTGAGTATCATGTTCAAAATATAATTCTTCAATTTTATTCCTTTATGAACTAGGTCATACGATCCTATATATTGAATTCCCAACCCCACTTTCTTATTCTACTCGTCTTTGTGCCTTTTTTCTAGTCTTCTACTTCCAATTTCTCAATTCTCGTTCATCTCTATCTCCAAAAACCATGTATCGAGTTGCAAATGCCTGGGAATATCTGGCCATCACCGGATTCGGTATTGACGATATAAGACTCGCCAAGAAGGCATGGATATTTCCCGGCCAGTCCTGTACCGTCTTTGACGTCTCTCCTGTGAACTACACCTTCGAAGTTCAAGCCATGAGCGCCGAGAAGCTCCCTTTCATCCTTCCTGCCGTCTTCACCATAGGTCCTCGCGTAGACGATGAAGCCAGCCTTCTCACTTACGCCAAGCTCATGTCTGCCCATGACAAGCTCTCCAACCATTGCAAGGACCTCGTCAGTGGCATCATCGAAGGAGAAACCAGGGTTCTCGCTGCTTCCATGACCATGGAACAAATTTTCAAAGGAACCAAAGAGTTTAAACAGCAGGTTTTTGAGAAAGTTCAGCTTGAACTCAACCAATTTGGCTTGCTGATTTACAACGCTAATGTCAAACAGCTCGTGGACGTCCCAGGACATGAGTATTTTTCTTACTTGGGTAAGAAGATCCAGATGGAGGCTGCCAACAAGGCCAAAGTAGATGGGGCGGAGGCAACGATGAATGGTGAGGTTGGAGCCAAGATGAGAATGGGCCAGACGCTGCAAAATGCTGCAAAGATTGATGCGGAGACGAAGATCATATCAACTCAGAGGGAGGGTGAGGGAAAGAAGGAAGAGATAAGGGTAAAAACAGATGTGAAGGTTTATGAGAACCAGAGAGAGGCGGTGCTTGAGGAGGCTAATGCCGAACTGGCCAAGAAGAAGGCCGGATGGTCTAAGGAGGCCCGAGTGGCGGAGGTAGAGGCAGCAAAGGCGGTGGCGTTGAGAGATGCTGAGTTACAGAAGGAAGTGGAGAGAATGAATGCTCTCACCAGAACAGAGAAACTCAAAGCAGAGCATCTCAGCAAAGCCAGTGTTGACTATGAAACAAAGGTAAAATATTTATGTACTTTTTTCCAAATGTCATTTTCTTTCAAATTATATATTACTTTAATTGAGTAAGGACTTACTTGCATCAAAATATTTAATTGAGATTTATTACGTGAAAGACTAATCTTTTGAAAATACTATAAAAATAAATAAGTTTTAATTATTTATAATAAAATTAAAATTTTGTATAGATAATATTTATAATGGTTATGCGTAAGTGTTATTAACACTAATCCTAACTCATATTCATTTTTTTTTTATTAACTCATGACAAAAATTTACAAAGACAAGAAAATTTTTTTAAATTATAAGTTTTGACTTAATTTTAATATCAAATTATATCTTTTTATTTAATTAAAATTGTATATAAAATTTAAAATTTTATCTTATCAAATATTAATGTTTAAATTTAAAAATTAATTAAACTTTTAAATTTTAAATTTTAATTTTAATTTTAATTTTAATTTTTTAAAAATTAAAATTGATACACACTAATTTCTTTTAATTTTTTTAATGTTATGATAAAATATTTTGATAAGCATTAATTTATTAAATTCCTATGATTATTTTTCTTTTAATTTAAAGGTGCAAGAGGCAAACTGGGAACTGTATAAGAAACAGAAGGCGGCGGAGGCGATTTTGTACGAGAAGGAAAAAGAGGCAGCGGCGCAAAAGGCAATAGCCGATGCGGCGTTTTACTCCCGTCAAAAGGTCGCCGACGGTGAATTGTACGCCAAGCAGAAAGAGGCAGAAGGACTCATGGCCGTTGCGCAAGCTCAGGGCGTCTATGTGAAGACACTCATGGATGCGTTTGGAGGAAACCACTCCGCTACGAGGGATTACTTGATGATCACCAACAGAATGTTTCAGGAGATGGCAAAGGTTAACGCGGAAGCCGTGCGGGGTCTGCAACCAAAGATTAGCATCTGGACTAACGGCGGAGAGGCGGCAGGTGGCGGCGGCGCCGGTGATGCGATGAAAGAGGTGGCAGGCGTTTATAAGATGCTTCCGCCACTGTTTAAGACGGTTTACGAGCAAACAGGGATGACGCCGCCTTCTTGGATGGGAGCTTTACCCGATTCCAACCACCTGGCATCAGATTAAAGTTATAACTTAGATGCTTATATCAATTAAATTCTGTTTTTATTCTCAACCAGGAGTAATTTTTTGAATTATAATTTATTTTGCTGTTTGAATTGAAAAAAATATTTTTTTTTGGAATATTTTGTGCCTTTTTTAAATTAAAAATTAGTGTTTTTCAATCTCAATTTTTTTTAAATTTAAAATTTTAACTTATATTTAAATTTTGAAATATCAATTCAAAATTTAAAAATTGAAGTAATTTCTAAATTTAAATATTTATTAAAATAAAATTTTAAATTTTAAGTTGAATTTTAATTAATGTAAAAGTACATATTAATCTTAATTTTAAAAAATAATTGAAATTTTAATATTAAATTAT